CCCCCCCCCAAAAAAAAAAAAAAAAAGAAAGGCAAAAATTTCCTGCTTTTGGAATGCTGGTAAAAATAGAAATGAAGACTATAACTTTTTTCGGATGTTTGAAGTCATTTCAATTAGCCTACAATGGTTATAATATTGTGCCTAGAGGTTATCTTCTCTGAAATTTACTGTTTGTTATTGGTTTCATGGTGGAAGGTTACGGCAAAACATCTTAAAGGAGGTAAAGAAACAAAGATGGATGTTCTGGTTATGGAGAATCTTCTGTTTAGAAGGAATGTTACCCGACTTTATGATCTCAAAGGATCCTCAAGATCACGCTATAATGCTGATTCAACTGGGAATAACAAAGTTCTGTTGGACCAAAACTTGATTGAAGCAATGCGAACTTCTCCAATTTTCGTTGGAAACAAAGCAAAACGATTGTTGGAGAGAGCTGTCTGGAATGATACATCATTTCTTGCCGTAAGTTTATCAGCATGTGTATTTTCTTGATGTTCTGTAAACTATCTTCCTACACATTCTCACACATCACTTCACCTGTGGTGATGCAGTCAATCGGCGTAATGGACTACTCGTTGCTGGTTGGGGTGGATGAGGAGAAACACGAACTGGTTATCGGGATCATTGATTTCATGAGACAGTATACGTGGGACAAGCACCTCGAGACTTGGGTGAAGGCTACAGGCATTCTTGGTGGGGCAAAGAACTCATCCCCAACAGTGATCTCCCCCAAGGAATACAAGAAGAGGTTCAGGAAAGCAATGACAACCTACTTCCTGATGGTCCCAGACCAGTGGTTTCCGCAATCTATCGTTCCGAGCCAGTCTCAATCTGACTTAGGTGACGAGAACATGCAGGATGGAAAATCTGATGTCGTGTCCGTTACGTTGTAGATAGACGTGAGTGAATCTCAGAGTACAACCTCTCACTTTTTGTTCGTTATCTCGAGTAAATTGATTCTTTTAGGTAGATTCTTTTCCCCCCTTTTCTTTTTGGTCTAAATCTCATTGTTGAAGAGCAAGAGGAGGTGATGATAATTCGTGGTGTGAAAGAAGGCCGCTAAAGCCACTAAGGAAGGAGGTATAATATTAGTTCACCTCTTGATTAGGATCTTTGTATAAAATAGGTAGTGTTGTAGTTAGATTTATAGTGTAAAGCTTCTGTTCTCCATATTAGTCATATGCTTCCACAGAACATATTACCGCCAAATGTTGTACTTATAATCATACATCTCAATTGTCTGGATTCTTTTCTCTCTGCTGCTAAGCTAGAACAGAGAATACCAACCACACATCTTCATCCATAAGTTTTAAGAATTTGACTCAGAATTTACCTATTTTCCTTGCAGAATTGTGCTCATCCTCATGAATGCAAGACGAACTATGCAAATTCGGGGCGATTCAGATACAGAAGAAAGTACATCTACTCAAAACTACTCAAATTAAAACAATATATTGTCTGTTTACATTCGACATGCCAAGTACATACATTCGATATTATATTTGAGTATGATCCATATGATCCAAAAGAGTAGGACCCTAATTAGATTAGCAGAAGGAGTTGAAACCATTAACATTCGAGTCTTTTTGAACAGCTACACCTTTGTCAGCCTGGCTTAGCTCTCCTCCACCTCTTCCTAGATGAATCCAACTTTGTTTTAGTAGCAGATCAATAATCTCTGTCTCTCTAGATGTGGCCAAAAGACAGCAAAAACATATACCATCAATTCAACAGCTCCCATAAAATCCCTTTTTAGAACAATGGGTTAGTTCAGAATAATGATTCATTTACCTTTGATGGTTGCCTTTTTCAGGAAGATTTGGCTGAAAGCGAGGGCCCTCATCGTATCCTTCACAGACGATCTCCCCATTCTCGTCTGTGTAGCAAATCACTCCCTCCGATTGATCCTCGAAAACCTGTTAGTTTTTCATAAAACTTGATAATCAGGTACTCACCAACCGTTATTATCGAATGACTCATAGAAGCAAAGTCACCCTATTAAAAAGCAATGACTTGGATCGTGTATCAACCAGAGAATAAGGTTCCATTCGAATCGTTATTTTCTTCTATAAAGTCGTTCGTTTTAAAGGAAATTGTGCAGACAGAAGAAGATGATGAAGAATCACAAAGAGACACGAAGGAAGAAGATGTTGACCTTGTTCTTTATGGAAGATCTGATCTGCAATGGGAGTGACTTCTTGAGTGGAAACTTTGTAGGTTTGAGCATCCAAATTCTGCTAATAGGCTTAGCTGAAACTGAAAGACCAGATTTGAGAAGAGAAACATTGAAAGAAGAAGAACAACAAGTTAGTGCCATCAGTCTGAGACAGTGAACAAGAAATTGCAGCTGTTTCCCATTTGTTTTCTGCTATTTCCCCTTTAAAGCTTCATATTTAGTGCCTTTTAAATACAAATATATAGTGTTTATTTCCATATTTGTGTGTATAAAGTATAGAGATAAAAAAAATATTCCAATTATTTGATCATAGTGCATTATTATAAAATGTGCATCTAATATAGTAATGTGAGAGCTGATGTGGCTTATCTTCAACCCATGATACCTCTATTTCTTTATACACTTTCTCTTTCTCTCATTCTGGTAAGTGGCTGGTGTGTCTTTTCAAAGTTAGGTGGAAACCCGAGTGTAAATTTGTTTTCATTTTTATTTTTTATTTTTCCATTTGCCCCCTTACATGTAAATATTATAGTGGTCCGAGACCTTTCAGGAAGCTTAAAGTAAAGCCACAAGAGCTTACCCTCAAAGTGGATAATATCATACTATTGTGGAGATCCATGCAGTTAACACTTGTAAATATTTAAACAAAATTGTATGAATTTAGTACACAAAAGGAGATACACATCGAGAAATTAGGTCATAATTTTTTAGGATAAACTAGTCTATGATGGAAGAGTTTCGTATCAATTTCGGCTATTTAAAAATGGGAAAATACATAAATTTGAAAACAAAGAATTCAATGAAAAACATAGTCCTATTTCATTGAAAAACAAGATATAATCAACTAATTACGGATCTAAACTAAGTTGTAATAGTAATAACAAGATTTATGAAGTGAAACTATTTTCTTATTAATTTAAATAGTTATTATTATTATTTATCTTGGTATGAACTTGGAACACTTTTAATATTAAGCTTTCAGATCTGCACCATTCAGTTGTCTTCTTTAATCTTATCCTTACTGCCCAATTCCAATGACCATTTCAACCGTCTTCAAACCACTCTGAAAGGACACCATTTGAACTGAGATTTGACTTCTTCTAGATGCTTTAAATCCAATCTCATAAATAATATTTTAAAAAAATATATCCATAATTGTTTCTTTAAAAAAAAAAAAAAAAGTCCAATGAAGTGAAGTGATGAGGTGATGATGCGCATAATATTCGAAAATAATCAAAGAAAATGACACATTTTGGGTATTAAGGAGCCCATATTGTTAATTGAACACGACTCTTTACAATGGTATGATATTGTCCACTTTGAGTATAAGCTCTCATGACTTTACTCTGAGCTTCCTCAGAAGACCTCATAGGAAATAGTATTCTTTGATTATAAGCCCATGATCATTTTCTAATTTTACCGAGGTAAGACTTTCATCCCAAAAAAAACCTTTCTAACTATTTCTTATTGGCCAGGTTCTGATCCTAAAGTTTCCAACAATGCCAAAAAAAAAAATGAGCTTAACTTGGTTGGTGGGTTAAGGCATTTATTCCTTCCCGCCATGAGTAGAGTAGGGGTAGGTTATGGAGAGTAGAGTAGGTGTAAGTTATGGAGTATACGGTAGTGAAAAGCTATATCTCTATATATCATAAATCTACCTAATATACTTCTTATACACAACTTAAAGGATCACTATAAACATCTACCTAATATTATGTTCAAATATCATCTTTATGCTAATAGGTGTTAGGATCGATATTCATTGCTAGCTCTAATACCAGTTGTTAGAATCCAATCGCTCAACAACGCACAATCAATCAAAATGAACATAAAAAATAGGAGATAGAAAATTCAATGAGTATTATTGGCTAAAGGGAACAATATTGGCTAAAGAAAACAGGAGATAGAAAATTTAAGGAAGAATATGGGGTAAAGGAATTTTATTGATGACTTAAGATATGTACATCTAGAGAAAATACAAAGAATGAAAAAAAAATACATTTTGAGCACTGTGTATATATATGGTTTCAATTTACTAAATATAGTTTTCCAAAGATTTAAACAGATATAATCTATTTTTACCCAATATCTTCCAAATATATCTCTAGCATCAAACTCATATCCCAACGTCAATAATTATATAAGTCCATTCTCTATTTATTTTAAGAATATGATTAACCAATATTATGTTAGAATATCATCACTTGTTGGACAGGTAAGTTCAATAATTATATGAGTTCATTGTATATTTATTTTAGGAAAACTATATAGGATGTTTGGTGTTAATAAAGAGTGCAAGAGTGTTTTCTCCAAGTTATGTTCAACATATTCACTATTGTTTTTTGTGTTCATCTAAATCGAGTGTGTGCGTTGTTGTGGGATCCTAATAAAGGAGAAATAATAAACATAAAGTGGATTCCGAGTGTCGTCACAACTCAGAAATTCCAGATTATCTTCTGTGTTCTTTGTTGTTTTTATTTTCTGCAGGACAATGAATATTTGGGGGCACAGAGAGATTCTGTACAATGGTAAATTGTTTAGGTACACAACCCCACATTATTTATTAACGTGAAATAGCCATAACACACAGTTGCCATTAAGGGAAACTGGTTGTGCACCTTGATACAACAGGAGTCCCTTCTGGGAATTCAGTCGCGATATTCGTTCATGAATGCTTTATGGAAGTCAGTCAGGCGAGATACGACGTCTGGGATCTTGTTCTCTGGAGGAAGTACTGTACACCTGAAGTGCCATGTTCCGGCCACCTGATGCAGAATGGATCGGTTAGTTCCGGTTTGATTACATTTTTTAGTTTTTAATTTTTGAAAATTAAGCTGGTAAGCTCCAATTTCCCCTCATGTTTAATTTATGAGCGTTTGATGAGGATTGTTGGGAGGGAGTCCCACAGTGACTAATTTAGGAAATGATCATGGGTTTATAACAAGGAATACATCTACATTTGGATGAGAGTGTACTTTGTTCTAACATGGTATAAAGTCATGCTCAAGTTAGCCATGTCAATAGAATCCTCAAGTGTCGAACAAAGAAATTGCTAGCTTCGAAGGTGTAGTCCAAAGTGACTCATGTGTCGAACAGAGGGTGTACTTTGTTCGAGGGCTCCAGAGAAAGGAGTCGAGCCTCGATTAAGGGGAGGCTATTCGAGGGCTACATAGACCTCAAGGGAGACTCTGTGGTATACTTTGTTCGAGGGGAGGATTGTTGAAGATTATTTGGAGGGAGTCCCACACTCGCTAATTTAGGGAATAATCATGGATTTATAAGGAATACATCTCCATTGATTTTTCGAGGGCTACATAGACCTCAGGAGAGGCTTTATGGTATACTCTGTTCGTGGGGAGGATGAAGATTGTTTGGAGGGAGTCTCACACTAGCTAATTTAGGGAATGATTATGGATTTATAAGTAAGGAATACATCTCCATTGATTTTGGGGAAGCCCAAAGCAAAGCCAACGAGAGCTTACGCTCAAAGTGGATAATATCATATCATACTATTGTGGAGAGTCGTGATTCCTAACCGCATTTTCAAAATCTAAGCTAAATTTTAAAAGCTAAAAAAATGTTTTTGTGTGATATAAATGGTGGAAAATTCAAATACTGCAGATGATGATGATTTGGAATAGATTGAAAGCTGCAAAAGCTAAAAAAATGTTTTTGTGTGATATAAATGGTGGAAAATTCAAATACTGCAGATGATGATGATTTGGAATAGATTGAAAGCTTAAGCCAATGAGACAGACCTGCCCAAAGCCAGAACCGGGGACGACAACCACTCCAGTGGCATTGAGAAGTTGGCGGCAATAAAATGTATCAGGGGTCGTATCTGCTTCTTCTGCTGCTTTGATTGCCTTTTCAGGCAGCTTAATGCAAGGGAATAGGTACATTGCCCCTTCTGCTTTATTGCATGTTACATTTTCTAAACTGTTGAATGCAGCTTCTAACCTCTGCAGTACAGTCAATTATTTTATTGATGAGGAACCAAGCTTTCATTGAGAAGAAGGAAAGAATATGCAAGAGCATATATAATAATAATATAAAATAAATAAATAAATAAATAAAAACTCAAAAAGAAGAATCCACCAATTAAATACGGAAAAGGAGGTTAGGATCGCACAACAATGCACACTCGATCTAGATGAACACAAATAACAGGTGTGAGAAAAGTTTATATGGATGACTTTAAGTATGTATTAAGAGAGTATAGAAGGCAGAAAGACTAAAAGGGAGGTATATGTAGAGGATTATTGGGAGTGAGTCCCACGTTGGTTAATTTAGTGGAAGATCATGGGTTATAAGTGAGGAATACTATCTTCATTGGTATGAGACCTTTTGGGGAGGCCCAAAGCAAAGCCATGAGAGCTTATGCTCAAAGTGGACAATATCATACTATTGTGGAGAGTCGTGATTTCTAACATGGTATCAGAGTGATGCCCTAAACTTAGCCATGTCAATGGAATCCTCAAATATCGAACAAAGAATTGTGAGCCTCGAAAGTGTAGTCAAAAGTGACTAAAGTGTCGAACAAAGGGTGTATTTTGTTCGAGGGCTCCAGAGAAAGGAGTCAAGCCTCGATTAAGGGGAGGTTATTCGAGAGCTCCATAAGCCTCAAGGGAGACTTCTAGTAGTGTACTTTGTTCGAGGGGAGGATTGTTGAGGATTATTGGGAGTGAGTCCCACATTGGTTAATTTAGTGGAAGATCATGAGTTTATAAGTGAGGAATACAATCTCTATTGGTATGAGGCCTTTTGGGAAAGTCCAAAAGCAAAATATATGGTTTAATGTATATACTTATAACCCTCTACTATATATATATACCATAATTTTCTACCACACATAATGATTGATTCAAAAAAAAATAAAAAAGAGAGTATTCTCATTCCACAAACCTTTGCACGCCTTGCCAGGGATGAGAGGATTCCATCTCTCTCTGCACAATACGATTCATAGATGTGATCCCCAACCTGCACAAATCATCAATAATCTTCAACAAACGAGGAAAAATGAATTGATAATAAGTTAAGCACTAAACTTAAACTCTTTCTAGCAGACATTTTTGCCTTATAAAGGCCGAATCGGGATGAATTTAGTTATGCATAGAAATCAGAAGATTCTAACCTTTGGTGGATTCATCACAAGGCTAGCAAGAATCTGGCCAGAAATATTAGAACAAAGATTAACAGATGCCACTTTGTATATTTGCTCCCTCACATCAGCACTAAACCCAGTAATCTCCATGTAACCTCCTCGTTTTCCACACTCACCATAGTATCCTAATACCAGGAAAAAAAAAAGTAAGGTATGAAATCAGACCAGTAATCTTT